AACAGTTCGCTTGTTTTCTGAGCGTATATACATCCTTTAAGAAATCTGTCTTTGTAATCCATATGCTTGCTGAGCAGCTCGGATATGACATTGACTCTTTCTTGAGGAGTTTCTCCCGCCCTTACAGCGCACCAGTCTCGATCTGGGTTCTAGAAACTGCTGCATAATTTCGAGAAAAAAATACGTCGATAAAATAAAACATATTAGATGTTTCCATAAATGTATTTCGCGTACTACATAGAGATTCGTGGATGTTTGAATAGATACCTGACTGTAATCCTTTTCCAGCTGATCGAGGATAGGGTAGACTCCGGTGAGATACGTTTTGTAGCACACGATAGCAGCCTGAACCCGATTTTACGAAAGTTTATTTGTTTTGGGGTCGAAGAGACAATGTACAATTACTGCTCAAGAGCTCCATCATTAACATAAACCCACAAAGAGGAAAAAAAGTGATGCAACACAGTGCAAGAAAAAGCTATAAGATGGTAACAAAAAAGTTTTACCTTCAGAAGTTTGTTCCGCTCCTCTGCAAGCCCACTCAATCGTCGCCAACGACTCGTGACCATCTCGTTCAATTCCACTACCGCAGCTCTATCCGTACAACCTTCCCGGATAAGATCATTTGACAACTCATAGAAGACACGCACCGAATCCATATTGTTCAGCTAAGATGATTAGATAAGATTATCCTTTCGTCAAAATCCAAAAGCCTACCTCTATCCGTTTGATGAAAAGTTCATGCGCTTCCTGCGCTCGAAGAGCTTGCTCAAGATCTACAGGCACCGTGCTCATTGCTTGTAATGCTCTTTCTTCACGGTCGAATACTGCTACTATATCACGTACAACGTTTCGAATCTGAAAGTCAATTCATAATCATGTGCTGTTGAGCTCAGTTGTTTTATGAATCTACCGTGCCCAGCTTTCGGGAGCCTTCTATCCGATAGGACGTTTCAGCGGCGTACTGGAAGAGCAGACTATGAACTGACAATGGTCTATTCTCTATCAACATACCTGCATAACTTGATGTTCCGCGACTTCAAGAATTTTCAAATTCTCCTTGATCAGCTCAGTAACGCTCTTACCTTGCTTCGTGCGCAAGTCAGAGAATCCATTTCCATGGATAGACTAAATGAGGAATA